CTCCCTTGGTATACGCATAGGCATCGGGACCGTAGCGTTGCCCTGGCTTCCCATCTTACGGATCTAGCTCCGACTTCCCTCACTTTAGGAGTCACTTGCATGATTCCCTTACCCATCACCTTTCTACCCTCTGCCGGCCCTCACGCCCTAGTTAGGCAGCCCCGCATGCTTCATCTAGGTGCGCCCAGTATACCGGGCTCCCTTGTTCCCTTACTCAGGTTTTCCTTTTCTTTGGTAGAGTTCCGCTTCTTGGCGGAAGCATGCTTGTATCTAGGCGATCCATCACAGGCCGAGGATCGTGTAGCGGACCTCTGGTCCTGTTCTCACAGGCCTGTGTTTTATTCGGGGCAGTCCAGTCCAGGCCGGTACCTCTGTCGGTACCAGCCAGTCTAGTCCAGCCCCGTCAGTCCGCTGGGGTATACCCCAGCCATTGTCTGTTTTCGAGATCATTCTACACTCGCACAATTTGGAGTACGTGCGCTGGAGTCTTGCGTGGGATTTGTGCCGTATCGCTCCTCCCTCATCCTCCATCTCTGTCGTCATCCCTAGCGGAGCACCACACCTGGTGGGTCCGCTACATGCGGGTTCAATCGTAAGACTGCTTAACAACCATGCTTAGCAAGAAAAGTTGGCTATATCATCACATTCCCACCACTGAAACTTAGCTGCCACATGTGATGGCCTGCCACAACAGATCTTAAACGATCTTCTCTCTCGTCGCCGTGTACATCAAAATAATTGAATGTCGCAAGTCAAAGCCTTAGGGTAAGCTAACTGCCAAGTGGCAATTCCACGGGTCGACAAGCGGCACAGCAGTATGTGCCCTTGGCCTCCCGACAACTCATCCTCTATGTCCGCCCCGAGCGCGTGTCAAGAACTGAGATTAAAAGTCAACCCCTAGTCCTCCTTGTAACGGCCAAGTGGCCATTTTTCAGGCCGCCTGCTGGCTGTTGTGTCCTTCGACATTTGGCAGCAACGCACGCACGTACGCATCGGTGGGAATGTGGAAGGTACTGCCTAGGTAGACCAAGCCCAGCAGTACTACCTTTGGCGCTAATTTCTAGGTCCGATGGTCCTGCTGGCGAAGCTGGTTTTCAGACCCAGTAACACAAATCTCAGTCCCACAACACTCACTGGTCTCAATCCAAGCCTCGCCAATGTGCGTACCGTCACCACTTAGACCAACTTCTTTTATTATTATTTTTATTTTATTTTATTTTTATTGTCAAGGCTAAACGAGCCCCTTGCACACAAAAATCAGTGGTAGCTTCTCAGCAGGACTGACCACGAAATGGTCAGAGCTAAATAGCTTGATGAAGCAGAATAAAAATAAACAAAAAAATAATAAATTTATGTAAATTACAAGTAGCATACATTGGGATGCACGACTCCCCAACCATATAACATGGTTAACAACGACGTGCACTAAATTATCCTCTGTCCCGCAGCGCAGGCCCGTGCCGTCAAGCAGATCAGACTGGACCGCGGTTCCCTCAGATTACGCTAATAGGATACCCTTTTCCCCACAGGCGAGAACATGAAACCGGTGTGGCCAATTGACACACCGCGGAGGGCCTGAATGTCGGGCCCTCCGACAACGCGCGCGCGCTCGCACTCGACCCCACGCCCATCTCCCCGTTCCCCCCCCGCTCTCCGCCCTGTGCCGCTCCCGCTGCCGCTATCCCGCCCACTATCCCGCTCCTGCTATCCTTCTCTCTCTCTCTCTGGCGCACGCTCTACCGAGTGCCTATCTCCCCCTCCCCCTCTCTATTGTATGCCGCTCCCCTCCCCCCCCCCCCCCCCCCCCCCCCCTCTCTCTCTCTCTCTCTCTCTCTCTCTCTCTCTCTCTCTCTCTCTCTCTCTCTCTCTCTCTCTCTNTCTCTCTCTCTCTCTCTCTCTCTCTCTCTCTCTCTCTCTCTCTCTCTCTCTCTCTCTCTCTCTCTCTCTCTCTCTCTCTCTCTCTCTCTTGAGCGTGCTCAATCTGGCGCGCATCGCCCCCTCTGCTTCCTCCTCTCCACAGAGTGTCGCTCCCAATCCCGCTATCCCGCTCTCTCTCGAACACCGTTGAGCGTGGCCTTGCAACGCAGAGCAGAGTAGCATAGTTCAAGTTGAGCATTGCAACATACAGTAGAGGCGTAGAGTAGCAAAGCCGAAGTCGAGCGTGTCAGCATACACATACAAATAAAAAGCACGAAATAACTCGCCTTCAGTCATGTTGGCGCGCTCTAATGCACAGGCCAAGCATCAACATCCAACCTTCTCGATGCAGAGCTCGTCCTGATGCATAGCCCAATCTCCAGCACAACAAAAAGCTCAGGAGCAACAATCTCTTTTTGTGCATATGTGTGTGTCAGAGAGAGACACAGACACACACACACACACACACACACACACACACACACACACACACACACACACACACACACACACACACACAGAGGACTGTGCCAGACTGTTTCGTCAGACTTTCACTGACTCATCAGAAGGCTGAGCCCCGACAGTCCGCCCAGGTTGCAATAAGGGCTCACGACATCGCCCAGTGTGTGTGTGTGTGTGATGGGTGTGTATAACACGGCAGCCCCATAATCATGGGGAACCAGACCATCCTTCAGTCCAAACGTAGCATCATGTAGTGTTAGCTGCAGTCTTAACATAGCATAGGTTAGGGGGAAGGGTTATCCCATAGTCATCAACTCCATAGGAAAATGGAGGATTAATTAGAGGGGAGCAGTTTAGGGTGTTAGGTGGAGCAGGGAGCAACGATGGCATAACCATCAAGGGTGGTGTAGTGACCAACCAAGGAGGGATGACACATCCCTTCATACGCTTTTTGGCGCTTGCTCCCGTCAAGGCTCATTAGAAGGTGAGGTGTTCCCAAGCACCCGGCTAAGATACCCATGGAATACGACGATGCGAAGGCCGTCAAGGCAAAACACGGTGAGGCAAATGACGGCGAGGTAACAAGGCACTGGACAACAAGAGGTTGCAAGTCACATAGGGTGGAGGACATGGGGGAGGAGGGGGGGCAGGTAACCAACACAAAGCAACAAACGAAAAAGGCATGAAGTACTGATACCAAGTTGGAAAAACAGAGAGCGAAAAAAATAAAATAAGCAAACGCTGGTGATGACAGACTGTTTTGTCGGAATTGTACCGACTCATCAGGAGGCTGAACCCTGACAATCTGCGGAATCCTCGTATTGGATGGTTTGCGTCATGAACCCTTTGACCCTTGTTGAAGACAGATTGCCCACAAGCGGAACATAGCAGGGAACAACAACTCTGCGAAGCACCAGGCAATGCACTTGAAGCCACTCAACTGCACAACGCCATAAAACGACTGCAAGGAACTACACGGCAAGCGGACGAGCAACACAACAACCTTGCAATGAAGCACAAGGCAACACCAACAAGGTAGCCAGACTACACGACCCAC